CAACGGTCATGCCTTCCCATCGATGGTTTAGCCTTCCCATCGCTGGGTTCCCATCGATGGGTAAAGCTTCCCATCGCTGGGTAAGGGCATTCTGCCTTGTGATAATGTTGGACCAAGGCTTGAACAGCGATGGGTAGAGCTTCCCATCGCTGTTTGGCATGGTTCTGGAAGTTGGTTTGGCTAAGGGGCTACTTACCCATCGATGGGATGTTCTTCCCATCGCTGGGTGGGTGGTTAGCCAAAAACCTGTGGTTTTTGCCTTAACCACGGCCTAGCCAACCGATGCAAAAACCGACCGAAAAATCCAAGGTTCTCCAAAATAAAAACCAAGTGTTTAAAACACTTATTTGATGTATTTGGCTAACAAATCAAGTGAGACACTTTAAAAAACACGTCACTTGAGTAAAAACCACGGCTAGCCAAGTTTACGCCGTTTTGCGTGGTTTTTGTCAAACGACTAAAAGCGAGAGATGGTTTTAAAAGTGTTTTTGTTGGAGAACCGTTTAAACATGCCAAAGAGTGAACGCAGATCATAAAATGCTGAAAACCACTTGGTTGGTTCGGATGCCAAAAACCAAACCCGACAACCGAAAGCCGAACGCTGGTTTCTGAAAGCCGAACACTGGATGGCTTGGTTTTTGGTTTGGGCGAACACCAAGTGTTTTTAATGACTTAACCAAGTTTGAAAAACATTTTTATGATGTAAGAAATGCAATGAGAGTTTTTAGCCTAAAGAGCCAAGGTGTAAAGATTGGGTCGGTCTTGATCATAATAAAGACCGACTCAATACTATGATTAAGCTCTTCGTTCTTGGTCTTCGTTTAGATCTTGCTCTTATCTTCGTTCTTCGCCTTGTATATTCAATGTTCGACTTGATCACGGCGGTTTGGCATTATCAAAACCTGTTACAAAAACGAACACGACTTTAGTACGAAAACGTGACAAGCCCGTGTTTCAACAATTTCCCCCTTTTTGATAATGGAAAACGAGACGAGGTTATGCATAGGAGGATTATTTTGAAAAAAAATGTTCCCCCTTAATAGATCCCACTTTAAAAAAAAAATTCCCCCTCAATTTATGCCTAACCTTAATATCTTCCCCCTTTTGACATTAACAAAAAGAATTAAAAGTAAACTTTAGAATTGTAAAAGTAAACTTTTATTCATGAAAAAGGGAAATGCGGAATACAACGGAATGGAAATAAAAAATGCAATCATAGTAAGAAGAGAAAAGAAAAGTCTAAGCATCGAAGTCCTCGTCGTCATCCTCCTCGTCCTCGCCTTCATAGTTTTGGCCGAGGAAAGTGTTGTGAAAGGGCGACGGGACGTAGTTGATGCCGCGGAAGAACGCCGTCATGTCGTGGTGTTGGCGTTGCAGCGTCCAGTCCATCCGCTCGATTGATTGCCCCATGCCATCCACTGTGAGGGTTAGCCGATTCAGAGTATCGGCTATGGATTGCAAAGAGGCCTTGGCGGGAGCGGGGGCTGGTGCACGACTCGGGCCTGCGTCGTACCGGTCTCCGGACTTCTTCCGGAAGGTGCTGTCTTGAATTATCCAAATCTTTGTCATCTTCGTATCCGGGCCAGCGATGGAGATGTCGGCGGAGATGATGAGGTCCATGACGAGGAAGACGTATGGCAAGCTCCGCTCAGTGGCGATGGAGGCGCAATCCGCCATGTGGATCATCACAAATTTCGCCCAATTGATGGAGGCGCCGTGGATGATGGCGTGAATCACCTTCAAGTCCTCGTTGAAGAGCAAGGTATGGCTGCTGTCCCGGGGGCGGAGAATCCAGGTGATGATGTAGAGGAGGAGGCGCTTGTCCGGTGGGGCCGAGTGAATCGTCGGTGCGCCGCTGTGGCGGATCAAGTTGGTGATCCCAAGCTCACGAATGACGACCGCCTCGTTGTTGAGGATCCAATCGTCGCCACCATAGGTTGCGATGTCGTCACCGCGGATGGGTAGCCCTGCGACCCGAGCAAAGGTAGGCAAATCAATCTCTATGTCGTAGAGATTGATGCTGCTGCGAATGGTGTCCCCGTCACGGCGGAGATTGGAGTAGAANGAGTGAATCGTCGGTGCGCCGCTGTGGCGGATCAAGTTGGTGATCCCAAGCTCACGAATGACGACCGCCTCGTTGTTGAGGATCCAATCGTCGCCACCATAGGTTGCGATGTCGTCACCGCGGATGGGTAGCCCTGCGACCCGAGCAAAGGTAGGCAAATCAATCTCTATGTCGTAGAGATTGATGCTGCTGCGAATGGTGTCCCCGTCACGGCGGAGATTGGAGTAGAAGGCTCGGACAAAGGCGGGATTGAAGCTCGAGCGGCTCCAGGAGGCGAACGACCACAGACCTGATGCTTGAGGCTGATTGTCGAGGTCGTGGTACCCTTTTTGTTGAGGGTACAACTCGGGCAGCACCCTAGGCGGAGAAATGGGACGCTTGGCAAAGTGCGTGAGGAACCGGTTGAGTTCATCCTCCGACCCAAACTCAAGAAACGAGCCATCCAGGTAGGGGAACGGTTGAGGCGCAGAGCTCGTAGCCTCGGTGGTGACCTTCTTCTTCGAAGCTTTTGTCTTCTTTCCTCCGGCCATGGTTGTGGTGTGGTGTGTTTGAAAAAAATGAAAGAGTTTAGTAGAATGGACTTAAGCAAGGCAATTTGAGCAGAAAAAAGTGTGTTTAAAAATGCCGCCTTTGTTGTTCGTGGTACAAACGTTGATGGGTCTCGGGATAAAACAATGACATGCGGCTATTGTAAGAAAGTTGGCCATGATAAAGACTCATGTTACCAATTACACGGGTATCCCGAAGGCTGGAGCGCACGTGGACGGGGAGGAGGTGGACGTGGTCGAGGCCGCGGAGGAAACGGACGAGGGGCTGCCACTGGCCGTACCATCGCAGCGCATACTGCGCATGCTGCGACCACCACTGGAGCAGCAGGCAACGGGCAGGAACCACCCTCCACGTCTGAGACAGTCCCTTCACTGACCGCCGAACAATGGGACACTTTTCGTGCCTTGCTTGCATCGGTTAAAGACGGATCACTAGAAAAATTGTCACGTATTCCTCTCACTAAAACTTGGATCATTGACACTGGCGCCACAAATCACATGACTGGAGATCTTCGTAGTCTTTTTGATACACATAGCATCCCAGGGTGTTGGATTCGATTGCCCGATGGGAAGCGAGTAGCAGCGACCACTGCCGGTCGCGTCCGGTTGAATAATACTGTGATCTTGAATAACGTATTGTTTGTCCCTGATCTAAGTTGTGCACTGATCTCAGTCTCTCAGCTCATTACAGAGACTAATTGGTTGGTTAAATTTGATGGCCCGTTGTGTGTTTTACAGAACCGTGCCACGATGCAGGTGATTGGTGCGGGTAGACAGAGTGATGGTTTATATTTTTTCCAGCAATCAATAAATGGAGATGCCATGTCGGTAGCAAAAGAATGCTCCTTTGACCTTTGGCACCGGCGTTTGGGACATCCTTCGGCAAAAGTTTTGTCATTATTTCCGTTAGCTAGTGACCATAAAACTAGTGTTTTGAATAAAGCTCATTGCTCTATTTGTTTACGTGCTAAACAGTCTCGTGCCAGTTTTCCATTGAGTAGTACTAAAACTACAAAGTTATTTGAGACTGTTCATATTGACGTTTGGGGTCCTTATCGGACACCGAGTATGGAAGGTTTCAAGTCTTTTCTTACTATTGTGGATGATTATTCTCGGGGGACTTGGGTATATCTTTTGCGTGCTAAATCTGAAGTCTCTTTAATATTTCGCCAATTTTGTGCTATGGTTGAACGTCAATTTGAAACTTCCATAAAAACGGTACGAAGTGATAATGGAACCGAATTTGAGTGTCTTGATCCTTATTTTCGTGAGCATGGAATCCTACATGAATGTTTCTGTAGAGCCACGCCTCAACAGAATGGAAAGGTTGAGCGCAAACACCAACATATTTTAAATGTTGCTCGTGCGCTTCGCTTTCAAGGTTTTTTACCCATTGAATTTTGGGGTGAATGTATTCTTGCTGCCGCTTATCTCATTAATCGTACTCCATCCGTATTGTTAGACGGAAAGACTCCTTATGAAAAATTTTTTGGGAAAGAACCAGTGATGTCTCACATACGGGTTCTTGGTTGTCTCTGTTACATTCATAACCAAGATCGTCGTGGTGATAAATTTGAATCGCGCAGCCAACCGGGGATTTTTATTGGATATCCTTTTGGAAAGAAAGGATGGCGGGTGTATTGTCATGACACGGGTAAATTTCTAATTTCTCGTGACGTCATTTTTTGCGAAGATGTATTTCCTTTTCAGGAGTCCATGCCAGTTCAATCCACTACTGCCAGTACATCCTCTTTTTCGTACGTGGATGATGATGATGAAAATGTTGCTCCAAGGAATTTTCAAACTCAAAAATTGAGTAGTACTGTCTCTCTGCCGCAGCATCCACAGCCCATGTCAACGGACATGGTCTCCGTCCCTCAGCAGCCGCTCCACCCCGATGTTAATTTGGGTCGCGGTCATTGTCAGAAAACTACCAATGTTCGGCTTCACGATTACTACACCTACACAGCGGTCAAAGAAAAAATATCGTGTAAGTATCATCTGTCCGACTTTATTGGTTACACCCGATTTTCTGACCATCACAGGAGCTATTTAGCCACTGTCGATGCCGACCACGAGCCGCAATTCTATACGGAAGTAGTTTAAAATCCTTCCTGGCGCAAGGCTATGACCGAAGAGATTACTGCTCTGGAGAATAATAATACATGGTGTTTGGTTCCCTTTCCTAATCATAAAAAGGCTTTAGGGTGCAAGTGGGTTTATCGTATCAAGCGTAAATCTGACGGTTCGATCGAACGCTACAAAGCGCATCTTGTCATTCTCGGCAATCACCAAGTTGAGGGCATCGATTACAATGAGACATTTGCTCCTGTTGTTAAACTTACCACTATGCAAGTTTTATTGGCGGTGGCTGCTGTACGAAATTGGGAACTACACCAGATGGATGTCCACAATGCCTTTCTCCACGGAGATTTGTCTGATGAGGTCTACATGAAACTCCCACCTGGTTTTCACCCTCACTCTCCGAATATAGTATGCAAATTACGCAAGTCTCTTTATGGCCTGAAACAAGCACCTCGCTGTTGGTTTGCCAAACTCTCTGGCGCTTTACGACGGTATGGTTTCACTCAGTCCCACTCGGACTATTCCTTGTTTTCTTTTACACGGCCCGGATTCACTATTCACGTTTTGATTTATGTGGATGACTTGGTTATTGCTGGTGATAATCCTATTGAAATTGCATGCTTCAAGAAGTATTTGTCTGAATGTTTTCACATGAAAGATCTGGGGTTGTTAAAATATTTTCTGGGTATAGAAGTGGCTAGAAATTCCACAGGTATTTTTTTGAGCCAACGCAAGTATGCTCTAGATATTATCACTGAGACAGGTTTGCTTGGGAGTCGTCCGCTGGGTGCGCCTATTGAGCCGAATCATAAGCTCTCTTTGTCCTCTGCGTCGCTGCTTGATGACCCAGGCACCTATCGTCGTCTTGTGGGCCGATTGGTATATTTGTCGGTCACTCGTCCTGATCTTTCTTATGCCGTGCATACTTTGGCTCAATTTCTCCAGGCCCCGCGGCTTGATCATTGGAATGCTGCGTTAGGGGTGGCTTGTTTCTTAGAATAAAAGACCAACGCTAGAGGGGGGTGAATAGCGTTTGATCGTAGAAATCGCAGGAATTAAAAACTTAAAAGAGAAGTAAAGAGAAGAGTAAGAGGCACACCGAATTTTACCCTGGTTCACCACAACTTGTGGCTAATCCAGCCTCCCGAGAGACTCTCTCGAGCTACACTACTATCTCGTTAAGCTTGCGGGTGCTTAACAAACCGTTACAACTTGAGAGTTCGAGTTACACGAACCTCAACGAGTCCTTCAAAGGAAAAGCCCTTCCTTTGAATCTACTAAGAGAAATACTTTCTCTCAAAGTGTCTAAGAACACGAATACACTCAAGAACGAGGCTCTCTTATAGAGTAGATTATGAGTAAACTAAGTACGCTCAAGAACAACT